GTAAGGACCGCTGGCATTCTGCCTATATGGTCAAATGAAGTTGTAAAGCATATATGTTTTCTGATCCCGTTAGCTCAGCTGCGTTTTGATTTAAACATCTAATACTAAGCTAAATACCACAGATGAAATAATCAATTTCCTGTTGAGCACAATGGGGCAAGAAGGTGCAGTTCTTACTTTCTCCTTAACTAGCTTTGACAGACCCAACCTGGACTGAGGCAACTTCTATCTCCTCCCTTAGGTTCTCCAACAGCAGGAAATGCCAGTTACTAGTGACAATGTGGTAACTCTTGAAGACTTGGCTGGGTGTGTGTACTTGTAAAAAATTACACAGCTCAAGTCTATGAGCAAATTTTGACTTGTTGATTAGTAACATTGCTCAAAGATACTGGAATATTAGAGGGTCATCAACAGCTGCAGGACTGGTCTGTATGCCACTAACAGGGTTTCCACAGTGGGACTCTATCGAAACATAATGCTACATGTAACACTCGTCCTGGGTTATAACTTTGTTTCCACTACCCTTTGTCTGTTTTACAGGCATGTTCCAGCATGGAAGAGTGAAAAAACTTTAGCCCTTTTATTATTTGTTTCAACAGTTAAAGAAGACAGTTTTTCAAATAATAGTATGGCTTGAAAAATCAGTAAATGAAAGCAAATTAAACAGATTAGACACAGAGAACATTTTATGGAAATTATGCTGAATATAACAATAATTCTGAGGGCATATTCGCACCAGGAAATTTGTACCATTCCTGGGCAAGTTTCAGCATATGATCTGTCAGATAATGTACCACTTTTCCCAGAAATGTTTTTAAATAACAAATGATTTGGTATTCTCATGTTTATTTCTTTTGTTTGCATTGAAACAACACAAAAGCAGAGAAAAAAGACACATCTGATCCATTCCACACAGAACTCCAAAAATGGACTGGACTGAATTATTGACACCTTTTCAAAATCATCAGAAATAGTTGCATTTCACACATGTGATTCTCATTTAATTTTTAATAAAACTCACCTGTAGCAACCAACCAGTGCTGGCAATATAGAAATCACGCTTGCAACCAGTTAAAATGGAGAAAAGTTGATGCAGCCTTTGAATCGTGTGGACCACACTGAGCATGAAGAAAAGGAAGAAGAGCGAAAAAAAGTCTGAGTATTTGAGAACCATACCATAGCTAATCTCCCTGGATGTGGACGAATGAGAAAAATAGATGAAAGATTGCAACAAAGGTTTGTTCGAATGGTGGATAAAGAACCTCAATCATCTTCCAAACATTCAAACTGACCTGCAGCCACAGAGTGCAACAGTGTTAGCTCGCACTATCTGTGGCCATCTGAATGACAAGAGATACTATGGTAGGAGACCCAGGGGACCCAGTGCTGACACAGAAACATGAAAAGCCAGAGTGGAGTTTGCAAAAATGTACCTGAGGAAGCCACAGTCCTTCTGGGAAGAATGTTCTGTGGACAGATGAAACTAAAATAGAGCTTTTTGGTCGAGAGCATCATTCTACTGTTTTCAGAAAACAAAATTAGGTCTTCAAAGAAAAAGAGCACAGCCCCTACAGTTAAACACGATGGAGGTTTTTGGGTTGCTTTGCTGCTTCAGGCACTGGATATCTTGACGGTGTGTATGGCATTATGAAATCTGAGGACTACAAACAAATTCTGGGGCACAGTGTAGGGCCCAGCATCAGAAAGTTGGGTCTCTGTCAGTTGGCAAAAGAAGAGTGGTCCGGGATTCCAGCAGAGAGATGAGAGAATCAATCTCAGTGATGGTTATAGGAAGCAACTGATTTAAGTTATTTTGTCTAAAGGGTATGCTACCAAATATTAAATTGAGGGTGTCAGTAATTTTGTCCAGTCCATTTTTGGAGTTCTGTGTGGACTGTATCAGATTTAGCTTTTTTCTGTGCTTTTTGTGTTATTCCAATGCAAAATGAGAAATAAACATGACAATACCAAAGAATTTGTGATTGCAACAATTTTCTGGAAAAAGTAATGTATTATCTGACATAAATGCAGGGATGCCAATTATCTGACAATAATGCAGGGATGCCAGTATTCTGGCCATGACACTAAGTGTACTCCAGTTGGAATCATTTCAAGTGTAGTGTGGGTTTAGGCCGGTGGGGGAGTGGGGAAGGGGGACAGTAATGAGGCAGCTGTGCTTAGTGGGAGTACAGTGCAAAATGCAAAATCAGTGACTTCTGTACAACATAAAAACAGGTCCTAACTGTAATTGTGACATATACAGTCTTATGCAAAAGTTTAGGCACCCCTTGATAAATAACAGATTTTGGTGATTTTTTATTTGAACAGATGTTAACACAGTTTCTCTTGGAAATGGAAAAAATGCACAATATTTTCTGCAAACAGTGATGCATAGTTACTTCTTATGCCATAAATTGAACAAAAATAAAAAATAAAAACATTATTATGGCATGGTGCAAAAGTTTGGGCACCCTAAGAGTTCCAGAGTCTCAAAGTCTCTCACAAGGTATCAGACCTTAATCAGCTCGTTAGATCTGATGCACAGCAACAGCTGTCATTGGTAAATGCCAATTTCAAAGCTGTACAAATACTTTGACTCTTCAAACCTTGTGCACACACTTGTGGACACCCAGCAACCATGGGTTCCTCTAAGCAGCTGTGTAAGACCCTGAAAATGAAAGTTATTGACGCCCACAATGCAGGAGAAGGCTACAAGAAGATAGCAAAGCGTTGTCAGCTTGCAGTTTCCACAGTAAGAAATGTAAATAAGAGATGGCAGATCAGGGGAACTGTGGAGGTCAAGATGAGATCTGGAAGACCAAGAAAACTCTCGGACAGAACTGCTCGTATGCTGGTCAGAAAGACAAATCAAAACCCCCATTTGACTGCAAAAAACCTGCAGGAAGATTTAGCAGACTCAGGAGTGGTGGTGCACCGTTCCACTGTGCAGCGATGCTTGCACAGACAAGGCCTTCATGGAAGAGTCAGCAGAAGAAAACCTTATCTGCGTCCCCATCATAAAATCCAACATCTGAAGTATGCAACAGGACATCTACAGAAGCCCGATGCGTTTTAGAAACAAGTGCTGTGGACTGATGAAGTTAAAATAGAACTCTTTGGACACAATCAGCAAAGGCATGTTTGGAGAAAAAAAGGAGCAGCATTTCATGAAAAGAACACCTTGCCAACTATTAAGCATGGGGGTGGATCTATCATGCTCTGGGGTTGTGTTGCAGCCAGTGGCACAGGAAACATTGCACGGGTGGAGGGAAGAATGGATTCCACTAAATACCAGCAAATTCTGGAAGCAAACATCACACCATCTGTAAAAAAGCTGAAGCTGAAAAGAGGATGGCTTCTACAACAGGACAATGATCCTAAACATACCTCGAAATCCACTATGGAATACCTCAAGAGACGCAGGCTGAAGGTTTTGGAATGGCCATCACAGTCCCCTGATTTAAACATCATTGAAAATTTGTGGGTAGATCTTAAAAGAGCTGTGCATGCAAGACGACCAAAGAATATTACAGAACTAGAAGCCTTTTGCAAGGAAGAATGGGAGAAGATCCCAAGTACAAGAATTGAAAGACTTTTAGCTGGCTATGAAAAGCGTTTGCAAGCTGTGATATCTGCCAGAGGAGGTGTTACTAAGTACTGATTGTGTAGGGTGCCCAAACTTTTGCACCATGCCATAATAATGTTTTTATTTTTTATTTTTGTTCAATTTATGGCATAAGAAGTAACTATGCATCACTGTTTGCAGAAAATATTGTGCATTTTTTCCATTTCCAAGAGAAACTGTGTTAACATCTGTTCAAATAAAAAATCACCAAAATCTGTTATGTATCAAGGGGTGCCTAAACTTTTGCATAAGACTGTAAACACCAAACGGCAGACAGGCAGTGGACCTTATTCACTAACATGCGCATAGAAATGTTCTTACCTTGTGCACAAAATAAGTGCAGGAGACATTACCATCATATTCATGACACCAGCCAATTTTGTTCTTTCTATTGTGTGTATGTTAGTGTAAATCAGAATCATTCTAAAATGACAGGCGCATTCCAGTGGTTTTCAAGTAGCCTGCTGCCATGCCCCCATTTCTCTATATACTTATAAACTAGAACAGTTTTTTAAATTTAATTTATTTCAATTAAAACTGTGATTAATCAGAATGACAGGGCATTAATTTCATGTTTATTTAATATGCTACATTTGGTCAATGCATTAGTAAATTAATCATTATAGCCTTAAATTATATTAATCAATTATATTAGCTATTAAAACCTTTTTAATTAATATAGTTTCAGTTAAAATGTGTTTGCATTTTTTAGCCAGCCAGGCCTTCATCATTTGTTCATACACATGGGGTGAGGCAAATGCAATGATAAATGTATCATTTTTCGCAGCCTCTTAATCACTTATCGTGCAAATATTTATATAGCAAAGATAAAATATGCATAGGATATTTTGGTACATATTGTCATAGGGCGTTAAACTATCTTATACCATATATAGCTTTAACACTGTTATATCTAATGAGTATTAATGCATGTATACATATTGTTTGTGCTCATCTTTATCAAAATGCAGTAAAACTTCACTTTTTTATTTCTTGGTGGTTATGGCAATGTGTGAAAAATACAGTTGAATCAATATAGCCAGAAAAAGTTATATTTATCACTATGCATTTATAACAATATTTATATGTAATAATATTTTGCTGCCATGCACAGTGTTTCGTTCAAGGTCAAAAGACCAACATTTGTAGTGAAAAGTCTCATTCGCCCAGGTTAATGTGCTTCACTCAACACTGAGATGTGTATTTATGAGAATAAACAGTTTACAACATTACTCAGTGACAGAGTGAGAAACTCTGTGCCTGAGGCCACGGTCGGGGGTCTGTGTGGTGCTGCAGCAGAACAGTCTGCTCAGAGGTGACACAGTGTTTCTAAAACTGTGTAAAAATGACCATTGACTGATACTTCCAGTCCTGTCTACAGGATCTTGACCTCCCGGGAGTCATCCTGCAGTATTCTGAGTGTGATAATGAGTTTGATAGCTTTTCTAAACCAGGGGTAGAACATGGCATAAATCAGAGGGTTTAGACAAGAGTTCAGTAACTGAATCCAGACCAATATTCCATAATAGGACAAGCTAGTTGAGGTGTCTATACCTGCAAAGGATGGATAGAAGAAGGGGGAGATGCATATTACAAACACAACTATCAGAATCCCCAGAGTCCTGGCTGCCTTGGGCTGTGATTTTCTAGCAGTTGGAGCTGCTCTGGCCTTGGTAGCAGCAGCCTGTGACTGAATTGCACGCATCTGAGAAAGGGCAGCTACAAACACCCTGATATACAGCACAGCTATGACAGTACAGGGCCCAATAAAGGTTATAAACAAGTCAACAATTCCTGGGATTTGTTTGACAACAACCACACACTCCCCATGGCAGGAGTTGAATTTGTCCGGCTTCACTAAGTGGTCAATGAGAATTAACCTGTTGTAAGTAATTGAACAGGCCCAACAGAGACAAATACAGATTTTAACACTGCTTGGAGTGACCCTAGAAGAGTAGGTCAGTGGGTCACAGATGGTCAAATAACGGTCAATGGATATAAGCACCATGTGGCCCAAAGCACTAGAGATCAGACAGTAAAATACATAAGGAGACAGAGCACACATTATCTTCCCCAGCATCCAGCATGACTCAATGTAGTGAATGCCTTCAACAGGCATCACCACCAGACCCAGCCCCAGGTCACACACAGCCAGGGACTGGAGCAGAGTGTTGGTCGGGGTGTGGAGCTGCCTGAAGTGGGAGATGGAGATGATGACAAGCAAATTGAGTGTCACAGTGAGCAGAGAGACAGATGCAACTAGGGTGTAGAGTAGAAGAGTCTCAGATCGTGGTCGCAGCAGACGCCTGCAGGAGGAGTTGAAGTTGGGGAAGCAGAGCTCAGAGCCCTAAGTGTCGTCCATCAGGGAGGAGAGGAGCAGGGCTGAGGTGGTGAACAGTTCATTTTATCTTCTTCTTACCCTGCCCTCCCACTTTGTCAAGAGCCCTAAGAGATGATGTAGCGTCTGTCTCTCGTCATCGTCATTAACCTTATCAGTCCCATTAGTATTTTATGGGTGAAATAAAGAAAATTGTGTGTGGTGTGTT